AATAATAATAATAATAAAAGATTATCAATTGATAAAACGAACAAGAAGATAACAAGATACACGGACGAATGAATTATATAATTCGTTTCGGTGGCAATATGATCTAGGCATGTGCAAACACTGCGGCCGGCCATATGCTATCAACCAGAAAGTATCCTATTGCATGGAATCAATCAGCTGAATGAATCTCATGCCTGAACATCAACGGGCAAACACTGCCCGTCATGTGCTATCAAAAAAAGTGTATTCTATCACTTGATATCGATCAGCTGAACGAATCTCTTTTTAATCTTTTTTTCTTTTGAGCTAAAAATAACGAAGAGTAAATCCGATAAAGTTTCGCTAATGCAGCTGTGCGCAGTTTTTTTAAAATTACTAAGTTGAGTCTTACGACTATGGAATGAATAAACCTCACCACCAGTTTACGATGACAATCAAAAACTGCCATCCACGCTTAAAGTGTCCCTAATGCCTAAGCACAGACCTTATGTAAGATATATTCATGAAAATGCAAAAATCCAAAGATTTTTTGAAATTGGATGTATTCCTGATTTTTAAATGAGTTTTGAAAACGTGCCTTTTCATATAAGGACCGCGCGTAAGGGGGACTGGTGCGATTACGTCATCGGGGTGATACGTTCCAAAAGTGAAAGACTTGCTCATTCTCCCAAGGTGGATTCACTCGTACAATAAGTAAAAGCCCAATATTTCGGCATTTTTTTCTTTCTTAAAACTTTTAAAAACAGCGCTCTTGACCCATAAAAAAATTGGTGTATCACCCCGATGACGTAAGTCTATACAATTTTTCAGGCTCCTCGAACGCGGTACTGAAATTTCGAGAGTGATTGGACACGAGAATTTTGCCAACTTTTTCGTGCCGTAAAAAATCAGGAATTCGTTTGAAAGGAAAATTTTTTTTGAAAAACGCGTTTATGACAATGTGAGGCCGGTTTGTTCTAAATTGGTCTGTAATCAGGCATTAGGGGCACTTTAAACATTTCCATAACCTTTATTTACACAGAGTAGTTTTTGAATTCAGTGTGAATGACACACTGTTGTCAATAGCAATGCTTCTTGACACTAACTAGTAAGCCTTAAACACCAAACCTATCTGACAATAAGAATTTTTCCACTTACATACACTCCCCAGTTGTCAAGTCGCAGGTGCCCAATTGACTACAGTTGCAGGCTTCACATCCGGGGATGCTGTTCTTAGGGCGACATTCGCAATGCGTTCCATTATATTCAAACTTATATTTAAAAGTACAGGATCCATCGATCGGTGAGCACACCGTATTGATGGGACATGTACAGTCCTTTGTGCACTTGAAGCCATAAGTTCCTTCTGGGCATGTAGTGTTACAACTGAAGAAAAGAAGAATGTATTCGTATTTCAATGGATTAATTCAAAGGCAAGAAAAAATAAATAAAAACAGTCCGAATAACTTTGGTACCCTTAAGATGGATGCTCCTAGTAATGGGCTCCTGATTTGGGAATATGCTGGCTCGCAGACCCAGTATGGGAGATGGATGCTTCTAGTAATGGGCTCCTGATCTGGGAATATGCTGGCTCGCAGACCCAGTATGGGAGACGAATGCTTCTAGTAATGGGCTCCTGATCTGGGAATATGCTGGCTTGCAGACCCAGTATGGGAGATAAATGCTTTTTTTAATTACTTTTTTTTTTTTTTTGTTTTTTTCATTTTTTCTCCCAGATAATGCAATAAAATACATATATACAGTTAATTATTCAAACAGTTAATTATTCAAGGGAGATAAAAAATTTCCATAACGGTTTCCATTTCTTTTTATGTTTATCCAATTTGCTTGAATCTCTCGCTATGATAGATTCACACATAAAGGTAATCTTTAATATTTTTTTTGAAAAAAATCTATAGTTGGTGTGAGTTCTTTAAGCTTGCAAAGAAATATATAATGCTTTGCCTCAAGGATGATATGATTTAGAAGCTTGTAATATATATCATCTTTCTCAAAGACTGACCAAGTAGAATGCTATTTACATTTAAAGTAAAATGTTTAATGTTATTTTTAGTTAAAAAAGTAATTATATCGTTCCAAAAACCTTTTATAATTGTACATTTAAGAAAT